TGTCGCGTTCACACCAAAAAGAGCACTTCATCTCGGGAACTTTTACCCCCATTTTTAGTGCCTGCTGAGAGATGGTACTTTCCTGGGGGAAAAAAGTGCCCCAGTTCTGATTGGCTGGGCGAATTGCAAACCACGCCCCGTAAAACTCTGAAATGTTTTGTAGAGACGCCATTTTATTATCCTGGCATTAGCATTATTAGCATTAGCATTCGCCCAGCGCACAAACGCAGAGAGACTAACTTATGGCAACACAAAATAAAACATGGGAGCGGTGGAGATGAGGAGGTGTCGGCGTACTCGGAAGGCTTCAGTAGAAGCTGCTGGCAGTCCCCAACTCCGGGGACTTCCGGCCGGGGACTCCGGGTGGCAGTATACGCCGTGAAGTTGTTTGCGGCCTGCCAGTAAACCCAAAGCAGAAGAAGACGAAGTGACGTCAGTGGCTCATTTGCGTAATCTTCCCTCAGGGAATTTATTCCGGTGAGAACGCGATCTGTACTAAGTGCCCTGGGGTAATAAGGGCCCTGGGGTAATAAGTGCCCTGGGGCACTGAGTGCCGGGGCACTGAGTACGGCAAAGTACTTGGTGTGAACGCGGCTAATGTGAATTTAGCGATCACAACGAAAACAGCCAAGACACATATTGAGCCCAGAAAATGAATGTTATTACGGGCTGTAAATAAGCCTATGTCTAAAATGGACAACATTGTTAGGGAGATTTAAACTATGCAGCGATTCTGCACTGTGGTCAACTCAGCAGTCTCTCGGGTTTGTTATTATTTTTTCTGCCATTAGTTCTTCTTGAGATTGACACTGTTGGACTCTGTACTAGTGAAACAACTCCCAAAAGTACTATGAGGTACTTTTACTGTGTACTTTTTGAGTAATCCTCTGTCGATGTCCCCTCCTGAGTACAAGAATGCATGTTTCTTTGCTATAAGCGTTAAAACACCTTTCTTCATGAGACTGATATTGTTGGACAGAGTACTTTAAGAGGATATGGTTGACATGATATCAGCAATACTTCCAGTCAGTACTCCGGCAGCAGCATTTTACACCATGGAAAGTCTTTAGAGACTGGCCTGGATAGCTGGTCTATCCTTCAGCACAGTGACACACCCTGTCACTCTTGTTGGCCTCTTATGACAATGCTGTCTTTTAAATATGATTATTTCTCTGCTCCTAGTTCGTTCCTCGCAGATTCTTCCATCAGTCCCAGTCATTGCACGTCAGTCAATAGAGCTTCGAAAAATGTGTCCAATTCAACAAAATGTTTTTTTGTGAGTGAAGGCCAGAGCTAAATTATAGATTGTTTGATTGTGTGATTACAAGGTGAGAGAAAATAAATCCACATCCTCCTATGAAACTTATTTTATTTCCTTTTCCATGTTATACTTACTTGTATTAGAACATTTGCATGTTGAACTACATGCTGATATATCTTCCCCAGCCTCAAGGAAACACAATAAAATAAATGGATTCATAATTTTAAAAAAATTGATAAAAATGTATACATTAATAATGTTGTGTGCAAACATTTCACATTTAAATACAAAAGGAAAAGAAGTGTACTTTTGAAATGATTTCTCACAAAAAACCTTTCTAAATTATAGTAAATTATTAAAAAGGGTTTAGTCAATATATGTTTTTCTGACTAAAATAGTTGAAATTGAACGTAAACTATATCAAACACCAACATCCATGGTAATTAACCCATTTGTGCCCGCTATTTAAATTGACTTTGGTTGAAGTTAATAACAATATTGATATTATATAGATATATAAATATATAGCATATCATTGATTCAGTCTTTCTGAACATTTTAAAAATAAAATACTGCAAATGAAGAATATTTGTAATGTTCTGCACAGATAGTGCCTTAACTTTAATTTGAAAACACGTGGCAACTTTATTAATACAGCAGAGGAAAAGATTTGTGGAAGGATAAATTCTTCATGGGCTTCAATGGCTCTCTAGATAAAGGGCGTTTTATGGTTGCTTGTATAATCCTCAGTTAGTGGTTTGTTTAAATAACTAGTGACATTTTAATAAATATTGCAAAAAAGGGCTCCAAAAAAGGCATATATCCTGGCCGGCTTAGCCAGTGTGTATTTTTTCAAGCACCACAAGATTCATAGTTTATAAAGTACAATTCTGGGCCATTGATTGTGTAATTTCTCCAAACACATACAGTAAACATGCCTGTTTTGAAGCCTTACAATGGTGCAGGAAAATGACTTTACATTGGGTTATACTTAAAGACAGGACTATTCAGTTAAGAGAAGAGAAAAAAGGAAAGACAATTGTTATAATGGGTGATGTAACATTAATGACAGACATAATATGAGGTCCTTGGCACTCAGACTCTAGAGGGGTCATTTTGTGATCATGTGACCTTACAGCATCAGGACAATATCATATGGAGTCAGACACTGGAAGTGTGCTGGAGGCGTTGACTGGGACTGATGGAAGGATGAGGCTGATGAGACTGAAGAATCTGTGAGGAACGAACTAGCGGCTGAGAAATAATCATATATTAAAAGACAGCAGCATCATAAGAGGCTAACCAGAGTGACAGAGTGTGTCAGTGTGCTGAAGCATAGTTTTTACCAGCTATCCAGACCAGTCTCTAAAGACATTCCAAGGGGTAAAAATGCTGCTGCTGGAGTACTGACCGGAAGTAGTGCTGATATCATGTCTACCATATCCTCTTAAAGTACTCTGTCCAACAATATCAGTCTCAGGAAGAAATGTTTTTTAATGCTTATTAAAAGAAAAACATGCATTCTTGTTCTCAGCAGGGGACTTTGACAGAGTATTTCTCAAAAAATACACAGTAAAAGTACTTCAATGTATTGTTAGTAGTTGGCTAACTAATACAAAGTCAAACAGTATCAATTTCATTAAGAACCAATGGTAAAATTGTACTTTCATCATTCATCAAAGATAGCAGAAAAACATGCATTATGTACTCTGGAGGGGACTCTGACAGAGGATTACTCACAAAGTACACTGTAGAAGTACTGCATTTTATTTCTGGTAGCAGTCAAACTAGTACCGAGTCCAAGAGTTTCAGTTTTATTAAGAACTTGTGGTAAAGAATATTTGTATCACTCATTGAATATAGCAGGGAAAAAAATGAAGAGCTACTGATTTGAAAAAACAACTCGAGAGACGGCTGAGTGACCGCAGTGCAGAATCGCTGTATAGTTTAAATCTCCTAACAATGTTGTCCATTTTAGACACAGGCTTATTATATTTACAGCCCTTAATAACATTTGTTTTCTGGGCTCAATGTGTGTCTTGGCCGTTTTCGTTGTGATCGCTAAATTCACCTTGTTTATAATATTATCACAGTTCCAAGCAAACGAGTGCTTTTGTTTTGAAATCACTTCCGCGAGTTTCGCCCCGCCCCTCGCTCCAATGACCATTTAGTAGGGTAAAAAGCAAAAAGGCCTCTCTATTTTCTTAATAAAGAAAAACAAATGGACGGTAGATACACGGATTCAGCCGCCACACATGTTTCTTTACTGATTCTATTTTACATGTTGTTATATTTTGCAGCAGATACATTGTCGAGGTGAAAATGCAAAATGAGAGGTATACGAATAAAAGATAAAGGGATTTTGCATACTATTCACTCCAAACATGTCATTTATAAAAAAGGAAATATTGAATTTGGGAATATGACGGTGTGAAGAACCTTCTTCTACTTTAAATGTCTTCATCCTTTGTACCTCACACCTTTTAGAATGTCATCTCTACTACAACATTAATAGAACGCTCCAAAATGAAGTATTTTGAGTGGAAAGGCCTTTTAGTTAAATCACATGGATTTATTTTTATTTTTCTAATTAAGAGTATCACAAGTCTGGGCATAAATGGCTTCTAATAGGTTAATGTGTGTATTTGCTATGTACAGTAGGTCTAACAGATGGCGTTTCTGTGTGGCAGAAGAAGGTTTCTGATTACAGGTGTCGTGACTGAATGGTTATTAAAAAATCTACAGTGGGCTTGCAATATAGTAGGTGAAAACTAAATCTCTGGGTATTTTCGAAACAGCTCTGCACACAGATGGTACATTGTAGTTCCAAGCTCACAGTCTTACTGTACAATGCATCATTCATACAATCCTGCCAAGACTCAACTGTTCCCCGGCGTTCTCAGTGCTTGTGTGTTTGCTTAGTTCCTATACTTTTCCAGTCAAGTGGGTTCTTATTTTATTCATGACATCTCTGAAAAATGCACCACGGCGTGGAAATAACGCAGAGAAGAATGAAAGAATGCATGAATAATGACTGAATGTGTCAACCGACACAATGTTCTTTTTGTTTTGTACTAACTCTAACAGCAGTTTGAATTATTTGGAGGTTAGAACCTCACTCAAAATCTGGGATGGGCATTAATTCAAAAGTCATAGAATAAATGAATAGATACAACACAGTAGAAAAATAAGGTTAGCTATTTACTTATACATCCAAGGTCACTATAATGGGGTCAGTGGACTGGCATTTTGGGCATTAAACACCTAACAAAGTGCAGTAACACCCCTTAAAGAGGCTTGCACAGTCTCCGTAGAGATTTTGGCTTGGAGGGGAGACTACATTAAGAGAGGAGGCGTTGTGCCAGGTAGTTCGGTTGGCAGCGACAAACGTGAACTTTTGCCCAGTCAAAGTGCTCATTACTAAAAGTCTGTACAGAAAGGAAAAGGACTACTTAACTCCTTGTTTGCACATCATTGCAACCTATAGGCAATGGCAGTAGTAGAAAGGAAAAAAAGGCAGCTAAAATACACAGGCAGTGGTTTGAGATTCAGCGTAAAGATAATATTCACCGTAACGATTATGAATTTTGATGAAAATCTGCTTGCTGAAATAAAGCAGATAGACTCTATTTTTTTGTTTTCAGGACCAAAATAATGTAGTAGGTTACCATCATCATTGCACTTATGCCCAAGGTAAATAAAGGGATCCATAGATAAAAAGTTGAATAAAATGTTTATCTCCGTAAAGTCTTTTGCTAGATTTGCACTTCAAGTAGGGTTTTTTTTCTGACCTCATGATGTTTAACACACCACCCCCACCACAGAGATCTAACATCAGGTGTGCCCTTTTACAAAACTGGAATAAACAAAGGTAAGAAGAAGTCATTATCCAGCTATAGCTTCTTTGTCCCCGCTACCCAGAGACACTGAGGTTTCCGAAGAGGCTCCGATTGGCCGGAGCTTGAGGGCGGAGGAATTCCTACTGGCTGGGTCCAATTTAAATTTACACAAGCATGTGGATCTCGTCGTACTCATCTCGTCCATCTTCGTCAAAGTTGGGAGAATCTTCGTCGCAATCCAGCTGTGAAAAGACAATTTCTCTTCAGTGATTTATATTCAAGACATGCTCAAAGCTCAAAATGATGCATCTTAAGATGCTTTCACACCTAACCTGGTGTGTGCTGTTTAAACGAACTCAGATGCGCATTGGGCTGGTTTGAGAGCTGTCAGTTTGAACCATCGGACTGAGACTATACAAAAGGTGGGTTTTGGTATACTTCCAGGTGGATTTCATGAGAGTGGACTTTAGCATAAATAAACAGCTAAACTGCTAATTTTGAAAGACAGGGTTAGATGAAATGATTGATACTTCTCTCAAACGTTGAAGTCTTTAAGTTTAAAGCTACATCCAGCAGCTAGCTAATTTAGCCTACACAGCTATTTGTAAAAATGTAAAAGTTTAAACATATAATGAAAAGTCAACAATATACATTTTGCTCCCCTCAAACAAATTGTGAAAGATAAAGAAATATTTGGTACCTACATTAGTTTGATAGAGAAGTGTCATCAACTTTTGTTTCGTGTTTTATTTTTAAATGTAAATTCCCCTTTTTGTTGTTCCTGTCTTTGGGATTTCTTATTTTTTTGTTTATTATCTTCCCCCAACCTTTTTTTTTGGCTACGCTTTCCAGCTGTGTCATGTCAGTTTGATTAGTCCTGTGTGTATTTATCCCTGTCTTCCCTAGTGTTTTAACTTTATTTTAAGGCCTGCTCTAGTGTGATTCTACAGTGCCCCGGGTTCGTGAGACCTTTGGCTGAACACACCGAGGATGGTGGTCGAGTTAAGAACAAAGCTATTTATTCAAGCTCCTGAAAAAAGTGGACATTTTGGACACGGAAGGTTTTAATCTGACAGTGTTGACATGTATGGGTTTAGGGGATCTAACCAAGAAAACATGGAGCCAGGTTTCAGGATGAACTGTGAGTCTTTCTGTGGTCTGAACACACGGCAAAAATTAATATTTGCATAATCATCTAAAAATATTTGGAGGAGAAAGCTGTCCGTGATCTCAGAGGAGAAAATCATTGGTTGTTCATCTGTAGGAGTGATGTTAGACAGATATGAATACATGCCAAGATCCATCTCAAATGAAATCTGCTGGAAAATAAGCATCCTGAGGCGGTGTGGGATCAGATTATAGTGGCAAAGGTTGAAACATTCCTAGAGTTACCAAACTTACCGCCTGGAGCTCTCGTTCCTCGAAGATCCGGGAGAGGATGAGGCGGCGCAGCGGCACCGTCATGATGAGGACGAAGGGGAACGCCAGCGAGGCCTCCGTGGACTTCACTACCCCACAGAGCCACGATGCACCCCAGCTGGATGAGGGTGAACATGTCATACGCCACGTCTTCACCTGAAGACACGTGGGACGGTTAATGGGTTGGAAACCAGGAGGCCATACACCACAGTACAGACACACCCAGTGATACATTAAACACTAACTGGCTCCATCTAGTGGAATTATGTGTGATCAATATGAGACAAACTTAATATTCTGTAAACTTTTCCAGTTTAAATCTGATACTAAGTAATATCAGGACCAGAATTGCCAAGTTCCATACCAAAACTGAAACCAAAAAATGTATAATGTAATGTTTCTTTGGTTTGGATTCTACTTATTTTCAAGCATCGACCCCAAAAACTAAATTTGATTTAGTAAAGCAACAAACTTTATTAAATTGTCAACTTCAAAATAACTGCCAACTATATTGATAACAGATAAGTCCGTTCTAAAAAAGTAATATTTTGGTTTAACAATAAGGTGGTCTGTATACTAATGAAAGGGTCTCCAAGCTGGATCTTGTTTAATTTTCCAAAAAGGGCTTCAAATGTAACTTGAAATGAAGAAAGATTATTCTACCTACTGTATGTTATTATATTATCAGTCACAACATCTTATGACATTATTGGTCAAGTTATTATTCATATTTATTACATCTTAGATCATGTACAAATGATTTCACATTTTCAAGACATTTTTACATTATTGGGTGCTACAATCCTTACTGTCCACTACAATGTATTCCATGGCAACATGTTGATCATGCTGTGGATAGCAGCATGATCATTGTAAGTTGTGGATACTGACTTGTAAGCTGCGATGTTATGTCCTCTTCCATTTGTATTCTATGTTATTTGTTGAGGTAGGTAGTTCAGTTCAGCGTTAACTTGTTTTCGTTAATTATATAATGTAACTTATGAACATATTTTCATTTATGATGTTTATTTGATTGTAAAATAACGTTTTTTTGCCAATTATGTGTCTTACTATTTCTTATCTTTGTTCTAAATGAGCAAATAAGCATAAGGACATGTACTTACATGTCCTTCTGCTTATTTGTTAATCAATATTATCATCTAACACTTTGCAAGAAGGCCCAAGTATTTCCCAAAATGTCAGACTATATCTTTAAGGTAGGAAGGTTCAGCTCAGGCTTACAGCTCCTTGCTCCACGTCTTTCTTGAAACAATGGACAGGTTCGTATATGAACACTGAAACTGGTTTTGCATGCTGTGATCAGTACTCATGTTCTTACCGTCCTTTGAAAAATACCTTTCTAATGTGCTTCTCACGGAGTAAGTATCCCAATCATAATACTAGTGGGAATATGAACATACTCAATGATGAATCTGGTTATTATCTGTTTATTTGTGAGAGAGACTTTCATAGAAGTAAGTCAGTAAAACACATAACATGAGTGTTAAAATACAATATGGGTAGTCTCTCCTATTTGGGGTCACCATTTTAATCACTTTTTTCTTTCGACATACATCTCGCTTGTAAATAAAGAAGCCTTGACAGGTAAGTGAGAAAACAAATATTCAGGTGATCCATTTCCTAAGTCTGATCTAAATAGTTTTCTCTCCTGTGAGTATAACTTTGTTTGGTTTCATCTGTGAAACAAGTAGGAAAATATTTTGCCACGTGAAATAAAACGTTTTTTTGGCAGGATAAGGATCTGAATTACTTTTTATTTATTTATGTGAAAACAAGGGGAGAAAAGTGAAATGTTGGCGAGGGAAACTTATTTTTAACCTGTGGTTCACATTTTACATTTTGTTTCCAGATCATAGAAAGAATATTATTTCAAAACCCATTTCCCACCTTATCCATCATAAGTCAATAACACAAAAAGTACATCCTCACTTTCACGGCCCCCCTTATAACTCTGGGGTCTAAATCAAGCAGAACTTTCCCTTCGCAGAGCATTCCCTCTCGCCTTCTCAGAGATGTTTTCGATTCAGTTGGAGCAAGTATTTTATTACTAATAAACACCTCTCTTAGCTCAGGATGTGTCCCAGCTGCCATCAAACATGCCGTGGTGCAGCCACTACTTAAAAAGAAAAATCTCGACCCCTCCATTCTCGCAATTTTAGGCCCATCTCCCAGCTACCTTTTTTATCTAAAGTCCTGGAGCGAGTAGTCTACGCCCAGCTGCAGTCTTTTTTAACCACGCATGGCATTCACGAAAAGTTTCAGTCTGGCTTCAAACCCATGCACAGTACTGAAACAGCCCTTTTAAGAGTTTTTAATGATCTGCTCCTAGCCGCCGACTCAGGTAGCCCAGCTGTCCTGGTGCTGTTAGACCTGACAGCTGCCTTTGACACTGTGGACCATAGCATCCTGTTGTCGCGGCTCGAACAGTCCGCAGGCATCACAGGCTCTGCCCTTGCATGTTTCAGGTCCTACCTGACAGACCGCAGCTTCTCAGTGCAGCTAGGTGCCTTCTCCTCTGCCAAAGCCCCTCTTACCTGTGGGGTTCCCAAGGCTCTATTCTGGGCCCCATCCTTTTTCTACTGTACATACTGCCCCTAGGTTCAATTCTCACAAAACATAACATCCCCTTCCATTGTTACGGCGATGATGTACAGATCTATCTGCCTCTCAATTCTAATGTCAACTCATTACAGCTATTGATGGACTGCTTGACAGAAATCAAATCCTGGCTGAGCCAACATTTCCTCAACCTCAACGAGAGCAAGACCGAGGTAATCTTTTTTGGACCCCAACCTCCAGCCTCTCCGGTTGATATTCTGGGCTCCCTCAATAAAAACATCCTCCCCTCTGTCATGAACCTTCAATAGCGCTTTTAAAATTTGATAAGCAGGTCAGCACCGTAGTCAAAACCTGCTTTTTAAAAATAAGACTATTGGCCAAGACCAAGTCGTTTTTATCTTTAAAGACCTAGAAAGGGTTATTAACGTCTTTGTAACCACAAGGCTGGACTACTGCAACGCTCTGTACGTGGGTATGGACCAGGCGTCAATTAGACGCCTGCAGCTAGTGCAGAACGCAGCTGCGCATCTTCTCACAGGCCACAAAAAAGCGTCACCACATCACCCCAATTCTGGCCTCACTACACTGGCTTCCAATTCGGTTCCGAATTGATTTTAAACTCCTTTTATTTGTTTTTAAAGCACTAATGGGCTGGCTCCGGCCTATATAGCTGAACTCCTCCATCGCTACACCCCAGCCAGAACATTAAGGTTGGCTGACCAGCTGCTGCTGGTAGTGACCAAGACCAGGCTAAAAACCTGAGGTCACCGAGCCTTCGCAGCAGCTGGCCCTAGGCTCCGGAACACTCTGCCCCTCCATATGAGGTCGGCCCAGACCCTAGTTTTTTTTAATCAACACTAAAAACTCACTTCTTCTCCCTGGCCTTCTAGTCAGAGCGGAGCACGACTCCTGACATCTCCCTGTGTTTGATTTTATATTTGCTGTTGTAATTTATTGTCTTCTGTTTGCGATTGTAGTAATGTGTTATTTATTATTTGCATGTACAGCACTTTGGCTCGACCAAAAATAGTTTTAAAAAATGTGCTATATAAATAAAACCTGATTTGATTTGATTCTCCAGGCATCTTGGAAGTAGGTGAAATCCCTACTCTGTCATTTCTTTATCAAAAGAGAGTTCGACAACGGATTTGCTTGTCATGGAGAAGTCCAAAACAGTCGCAGCTGTAAATCAAATCAATTTACTGCTGAGTCCTCCACCCGGAAATTAGTTAACATTTCAATCCCTGTCTCAGACTCAATGTTTTCTTGAGTGTATTTTGATGGTTGAAATACGGCCAATATTAGCCGCCTTTAGCTAAGTGGTGGTGACATGCAGCCATGTGACTGTGATTTAGTTAATTTATAGTCTAACATTAGCTTTTTACTTCTGCCGATTGCATGTATGCTTCAAACATCATATAAGTGGTGTTAATATGTGGAGAATATCCTGCATTTTTCGACAATGGACAAATCACTTGCTTTTTGTCGAGGGATGCTAACTTCCAGGTCAGCCTAACCAATATGTTATGGCTGCACCACTCTATACTCAGGTCCTCTCGGTCAAATCAAGCTATAACCCAAGAAAGAAAACACCAGGTCTCTGCTGCAGTAACCACTCAGCTGGGTTTGTCTTCTCGTTCTCACACAACTATAAAATACTTGGCCATGTCAACATTCATATTGCGTGTTTTACCTTGGTACATAGATGTGGTCGGGATGATGCTTGGCGGGCGTGACCATGAAGCGTGATGCGTTCGTACAGCTGGATGCCTGTCAGAGAGGTTACCCCCATGTACAGGAAGATACCAAAGAGCACCGCCAGAGGGATGAGGCGCAGCACGTCAGTCATCACTATGGACAAACCTGAAGGGTAGACAGGGGTTCAAGGGGAATTAGGGTTAGGGGTTAGGTTTGGATAAACGGCAAACATCAGAATAATTTGCAACTGTTGAGAGAACTATTTATTGAACAAGCAAACATCCTTCATGACTAGGGTTGGGAACCGAAACTCGGTTCCAGATGAGAACCGATAAGAAACACCGGGTACCGGTACCCATACAAAATACACAATTTTGGTTCTGCTTAACGGTTCCTAAACGCGGTAGACCCTGTATTCCACCGGGTCCGTCTGCGCCGCGGTGACCCGGTGGAATACAGGGTAAGGGCGGACTGGCCATCTGTTGTGTTCTGGAGAATCATAGAACGGCCTGTCGTCAGCGGGCCGTTGACGGCCGGCTCGGTACGCTGACGGCCGGCAACCGCCCTTCATTTTTTTAAACGGGCATCATGTAAGTTACGCTGACAGGCGACAGAGGTCCACAGTTTGCCCGCAGCGAGGGCTCCCCCGCCCTCCCGTAGACAGTTCACGAGCTCAGTCACTTCATAACACCAAAGATGGATCGTGGTAAAACCTCTAAAGTGAGGCTCCACTACACTAAAAAAAGAAAAAGACAAGGCACAGTGTAATGCCTGTTAATAGCTTGCCACAGGCATATCTCAGTTAAATAAAGCACAGCTATTGTGTAATACATTTGTATTGCATGTATATTTTTTATTTGTAAAAATGTCAGTTAAAGCTTAAAAGAATAAAGATATTTTTGTTATCTAAACATTTGACCTCTTTCTTTTACAATTTTGGAATCGAAACGGGGAATCGATAAGAACCGGAATCGATAAGCAAAACCGGAATCGGAATCGGAATCGATACATTTCAAACGATACCCATCCCTATTCATGACAAACACAGTCAAAAGCGTTTATTTGAACCATATTCACTATTCGTCTGCCTTGGTTGAAACGCTCTTTGAGCTAATCCTTAAAATCTTTCTCCTCATCCCAACAGCATTTCAATCAAACAAAAGCTCAACAATCATGATGACTCATTATGGTCGTATACCCAAACAGGATCAAATACTTAGATATTTTGTTGGCAAAATGGTTATTCTGTGGATGAACACGGAGATGCCATGTCGGACATTACTTTTTAAAGTTTTTCAAAAATCGTTTTTGATTCATATTGAGGACAATTCGTAAACAGAATGTAAAATCCTTGATAGCTTTTGCTACGACTGATTGATACTCCAAGAATGTCTAGACATGCAGGAGCTGCAGAAGTGGCACTCTGTACCTTTAGAGCTTATGTTTTCTTTCAAGACAAATTGCCTGGAAAGTCCAGCACTGTAATAAGAAAAATACAACCCCAACAGACAGATAATAAAATAGAATAATTGCTCGGGAAGTGTTCAGTAGTTCAGATCTCTCTTCTCCTCCAGCTCCTTACAGATGCACTGTTGTGTGTTGAAAATATGTGTTTATTGCGACTTCTTATGAGATTTTGTGGAATTAAAAGCTTTTCTTGATTATTTCTTAGGTCTATAATTGCATTTACAATCAAACTAATATTCACATTGCACTCAAAAGGAGCATTCCACCAACCACTAACCCTAACCCATTTGCTAGGCCTCATCACCCTTGGTTAGCTTTGCTTGCCTGTCAAGCTTTATGTTCTAGCAGCTAGAACATAGAATTTAGCAGAGTAAATCTACCACCATTAGCTAGAATCTAGCTAATGGTGGTAGATTTACTCTGCTAAATTCTCTGTTTTGTAGAAGTAATGGGTCTCCAGTTTATTACTGTTGTAGAGAAGGCTTTTAGTTCCTACCCAACTCTGGTTGATTTTGGCTGAAATCCCAACTGTCGCTGGCAGTTTTCCAACTGTAGCTCCTGTAAGCTAACAATAACACTATAGCTATAAATCGGTTGAAAACTCCCTGTCTCAAGCTGAGTTTTCTCTGATATACTAGCATCTTGGGCATCTTTACTGAGGTTAAAATCAAGTCAGAATAGGGGGGATTTCTTTCATAGACTTCTTTACAATCTGAGTTGTTTTTAAAGAGGTGCAGTCTCTGACAATCAGAAACATTGCAGGTTAAATGCTCTCCCATGGAAGTTTGCAACGTGTACTTTATTTTAAAGGAATTATTATGACATAACAGGTAACACAAACAAATAATGAAGTTGCTAATGCTTTGCTTTGGAAATAATGCTAAGCGCTAGTTAGCAGGCTAGGTAGACCAGGCATTTGCAGCTAAAGATAAACACACGTTTAATGCATTCCTTTGATATATATTCTTATGATTTGGTTCTTTAAAAGGCTGAATAAAGATACCAGCCCTTCAAGCTCTTGAGATGATAAGTACCACTCCTACAGTACTACTGCCCCATAGATCAGTTTTTCAGTATATATATAGAAATCTAAAGCTTGATATGCCTGCGTGCCTATAGTTGCTAAGCTATAATTGTAAATCTCTGTTCCCAACTTTCTCTTTCCCCTTACCAACGAGCACAGCCACAGCGAGGCCGGTCAGCCTCTGTTCCTTCACCTCCTGGATCATGGGCTTCTCGCCAGGCGCCGTGGCTTTGCTCATGACGGTGAGGGCGTTGACGTGAGTGACGGAGCGCACGGTGGCAGCGGTGAGCCACGGCAGGCCGAAGAGAGGACAGAAGGCTCCCAGAGTAACGATGAGCAGGAGATCCAAGTGGAACCCAGAACCTTTAACCAGGTGACGCTCCTTCTTACTGACTATCAATCTGATGGATTGGAGAAAACATTAGAAAAGTCAGTAACCTTCTTTTAAACACAAATTCTGCACACAAAACATAACCATAAAAATGTATACTGTACGTACGATGTGATCTGAGTTTCCATGAAAATGAGGATGAAGACAAGGATGGCAGGAACAATAGAGGCTCCCATCATCCAGGCAGGAAAGGGCTGCTTGTCACCAAAGGGGCTGATGAGCCAGCCTCTCTTGTCAGGGGAGGTGACGAGAAGCCCGACGGCACATTGAGTTTTCTACAAGGAGGAACATAAGAATAATAAACTACTGAGAACAAATTTCCCAGATTTGTTTGAAATGCAAATAAAATTCGGACAATTACCTGTGTGTAAGTGTCGGTAATGGAGTAATCCACCAGCACTGAAACTAAAATTGAGATGGGGATGCCAAAGTCACCAATGATTCTTCTAGCCTGGGGATAAAGAGAAACCAAAGTCTAAAGTCAAAAGGCACTTTCACACCGGAGTACTTTTCCCCGTACTTTTCCCTTTTAGTTCCGATAGTTCCTGGGATTTTGCGTTCACACCAAAAAGAGAACTTAGTTCATGAGAACTTTTCCCCCATTTTCAGTCCCTGCTAGAGAGCAGGTACTTTCCTGGGGAGAAAAAAGTTCCAATTTCTGATTGGCTGGGCGAATTGCAAACCACGGCCCGTAAAACTCTGAAAAGTTTTGTGAAGCCGCCATTGTATTTGCTGGCATTAGCATTATTAGCATTAGCATTAGCCCAGCGCACCAACGGAGAGAGACTAACTTATGGCAACACAAAAAAAAACATGGGAGCGGTGGAGTGATGAGGAGGTGTCAGCGTTCTGGCGATTTACTCGGAAGGCTTCAGTAGAAGCTGCTGGGAGTCCCAGCAGCTTCTACTGAAGCCAGCCCCCAACTCCGGGGACTTCGGGTGGCAGTATACGCCATGAAGTTGTTTGCGGCCTGCCAGTAAACCCAAAGTAGAAGAAGTGACATCATTTGCGTAATCTTCCCTCAGGGACTTATTCCGGTGTGAACGCGATCCGCTCTTTAGTTCCATGGGGGAACTAAGTGCTGGGAACTAAGTACTGCAAAGTACTTGGTGTGGAAAGCGGCTAAAGATGAATCTTGATTGGGCCAAATTTGACCCAGAGTCACCCACAACAATGCTGCTGGGTCTTCCCGGACCCTAACACCAAATGATACCCTTTTTTTTGGTTTTTAATAAAAGCAGGACAACATTGAAGCATTTTGTTTTTGTGTTTTGTTGCTATGCTAACAGAATATTAGATGACATTTAGCTTTGCTGATCAAACCTTTGAGATTGACTTAAAGTGAACAGATATTCAAAGAGTATAATTGTAGAAAGGTTGCCTTCCCTCAAAGCAGCAGGTTTACCGCCCCCCCCCCCAAACCTTCCACCTCATTCATGTCTGAGTTGTCTGAGCTTCTCGTTTTCTGTTTTATAGATCTATTCTCATCCACCCATCTTTGTTTGTGACGTAAAGAGGTAAGAGTCACGTTTCTGAATCGGACACTCTGAGTGGATGCAGTCACAGCCAATCGGAGTCTGATTCAGAGGGTTGCCTGTCAGTTCCGTTGTTATGTGTACTGAAATGAGAGCCGGTATAATTGCACGCGCGAAAACAAAATAAAAGTTGGAATACGTTCTTTTAGTGTTTTGAAAGTAAACTGAGGTATGGCAAGGAAGTTTACTACAGCTGAGGCTTTGGAGCTGATTTTTCAAAGGGACGATGTTGATGAAAATTCAGATGAATCTGCTCAGCATGCCATGTGTGATTGTGGACAAGATATATATCATGTGTACTCTTCAAAATTGGCAGGACAAAAAAGGACAATTCCTCGCAAAAAAACGCCCATGGACACTGCCCAAAAGAATAGGCATAACTAATGAACAGAATAAGTTAGAATCTTCTAATCAGTTCTGACAATGATAATAATGTGTGCAATCTTCTGTGTTGAATGTCTCTTTCAATGTTATGGTTAGCATTTATTTTAATGAAATAAAGTAAAAAGATTCAAGCTTTTTTTTTGTATTTATGGGCAAATATCCCCTATTATAGTGTATATAAGTCTCTAATGAGTGACATATATCATTAGTTGAGGTTGTGCTGATTTCTGGGATGTGTAAAACTTGATTATACTGCAAAGAAATTACAATTTATAAGGCAAAACACAAAAATATACAAAAACGGAAATGTCCTATGTGGGTCTCAGAGGGTTAATAGACTGAAGTAAAGCAGGGTACCTTGCCACCTAAAAACGACTGTTTCGGAGCTTCCTGAGGAAGAACGCCACGAAGAAAGTGCCAATCATGAGGACAAAAGACAGGAGAGCCGTGTTGGGCTGGTTGAGGAGGTGGTCATGAACTTCTTCAGCTGAGTTTGGGTCACTTGATATGTAGCCATCAGTGGATGTTCCCCCTGAACACCTGGAAACAAAAAGACGGTCTTACTTATTTGCAGTGGGCTCTTTCCAGATATGATAATAGAAGGACTGAAATTTATAAGGATTTTAATTTGCATAAAAAGCTTTCTTTATTGTCCAAATTCTCTCTAACTCAGTGGTGCTGTGTGACATCTGGCGTTGTTACCTTGAAGAGCTTAGAGAAGGTCTCATAGATGAAGATGAGAGAGATGAGGAAAGCAAAGATCTCCTGGGTAAAGGGTGAGATGAAGCGAACAAGGAAGCTTCCCTCCGCTGCTACCATCACCAGGACGATGAAGATTAGCCAGAAACAATCCACACACGACCCGTCCAGATACTCAAAGTTGTGGGCCTGACAGAACTGAGTGAAAAGACAAAGACATGTTTATTTACATACGGAAGTCCTGAGAGGCAAAACTACAAAAATCTGCTGGTCCATTTCCAGTGTGATCTATATTGTTTCGATCAGGTTACAGCCATAACCACCGAACATAAATCAATGGCAACAAAAGGTGAATGAGGTGTTTATCATGACAGATTCACTCAATAGGTTTATTGAAATAGTTTTGTGTGTTTTCATTGTCCTCTTTTATAAGTTCCTTATTTCAGAGACTGTTGATAAATCCATGAGTATAAAATTGTATGGCATGAATAAAAAGTTTAAAGGGCCCATGTCATGCTTTTCCGGTTATTACCCGTCCCCTTGTGTGTTATGAAGGTTTTTATGCATGTAAACGGTCTGCAGAGTCAAAACCCTCAAAGTACACCCTGTAGTGAGTAAAACTCTAACACAGTCTATGCTGCCCCAAATGCCTCGTTGGAGATTTCTCATTTTCCATTGTTTACTTCCTGGGTTACTGTGACGTGTGAATACCAGATGCCACACCCTCTGCCAGCATTTCACGAAACAAGCTTCACAAAACCTTTCAGCGATTCATGCCGGATATGTACAGCGTAGGGCACTGAAGAACGATGCTGTTCCTACTTGTTTGGACCAGCGGGAGATTCGGGTACACAAACCGTAAGTATTCATTGTTGTTTGTGTATGTATGATGTTTAAAACAAACAAGGTATCTACCACGACTGTTTAAATGGGTAAACGTTTTTCGGGCTGCTAAGTTGGGATCGCGGAGAAATGCTCTCCGCAGACCCATGCTCACAGCGTTATAAACCTTTTTCTTACTCAATATCAAGCCACACTTATTGTTTTTACTTCGGCTGTGTTGTGTTGTGTGTGCTCAGGATGAGTTTCGCTTGTTCTTCGCTGTATCGCCGACCCGGAAGCCTGTCCGCTCCTCGCAGCAGATCGCAGCAACGAGCCTTTGCAACTTCCCGACCAATCAGAGCACACTGGGCTCACAGGGAGGGGGGGGGGGGGGGGCAGGAGCTCCAACAAGCCGTTTAGGACAGAGAGTGAATACCGGTGAATACACATACTTTACAGAGATGCTGTATGAGAAACCAATGTGAGTTTGGAAAAATTGCACAGTATAAATCTATTTTAGTACTACCTCAACAATGAAATTATGATCAGTAGAATGGGCCATGACATGGGCCCTTTACATAAAATACATTTAAAATAATATATGGTTTCTCTCCTGTGTTTATGAAACAGGTTGAAAAAAGGTTTTGGCGGAATAATATTTTTATGGGTCTTTAAAAAATCTGCAGAAACCGGTCATTTTATCCAAGTTAACTTTACTATGAAAACAGTTGGGAAAAATGGTTTGTGCTCCACCACCCGTGTTCTAATTAAGACGAAAAGCATCATGTTTTCCAACAAAAATAAATAAATGACAACTTGCTAACGTGCAGCATGGATTCCTTCTGTTAACCTGTTAAGCCCTGAGCCTGCTTTTTCAGGTCTCAGGCTCGAAAATGACATTCCATAAACAAATGACCATATCTCTTCCCTTCTAAAAGGGTTAAATTAATAATCTTTTTTCTCAAAGTAATGATAAACCTGTGAGTTGGATGTAGGAAAAGTCAGAATCAATATAGATGTTTTTTATTTTAAAGAAATTCAGATTTTACATAGTAAAAAACTGTAAATATAGTGTCCGTCCAAAAATTATTTTTTACTTATAGTGAAAACCACCCTTGGATGATGGTAAGGTAGACTAAAAGCTTTAGGAATCCAAAAGTACAACATATAATAAGTATCCCTGTATCAAGATTGATGCAAAACAAGTGACATTTGACCTTTTTAGAGAGATTTAGCAAAAAAGAAACCACTTCTGGGGTCATTTGGGTGGATTTTCCATATATATGGCCTCCCTTGCTCGATTTTGATGGTTGACACCTCTTTCTGACCGTTAGAGCCAATAGAATCGAAGGGGGAGTCCCCCACACACACTCATAGCATGAGTAATAGCACATAATAGCATGGATTATCCGTTTTATTGGTCATGGATTATCAGAAATAATTTAAAAGGGACACAGACACATTAGATTAACCTATGGATTAACTTCAGCAGCGTTTTTATCGTTTTAATGCCATTGAAGACCACTTTGGAGAGACTACAGAGCCAAGGTAAAAATGTTAGCATTTTTAGCTACCTAGCGTCACCTGTTTGATGTCCCGTTTTTGCTTAATAACGTCGCAAATTCGTATAATTCAGTGATAATGTGGGTATCCATCGATTCTGTGTCACCTCACGATGTGAAACGATGTCATGGATGTAGAGAAGAGATAAATAATAAGGTTTTGTGAGTGATTTTCGGTGCAGTAATCTGTTAGCATTTTTCGCTCGTTGCTAATTCAGAGGCTCAGTGTTAGCATTGTGGGTTTTCTTTTGAAAAAAAAAAAAAATGATCAGTTAGATGAGTTTCTTCCCGTTACATGGATATAAAACATTCATAGTTTATTAAATGAACATGCCCTCAGACACTGTTTCCTGCAAGATGTTGCGGCAGTGCCCCGGTACCGGGGTCTCTCGGGCTTAACAGGTTAAGTGCAAGAAATGTATACTCACCAAGAAGAAAACATGAATGGTTTAATTGTGTTTAGAATAACGTGTGTTGGTGCACTTCTACCTCTTGTGGTCAAAATGAGTATTACAACAACACACATGTATCCGGCAAACGATGGGTTAGGAAATCATGTAAGTAGCTTGGTATTTTTGATCAGACTTGGAAATTGGATCGCTAGAACTCTCCTCATAGAGCTTCCTTAGTTATATTCGGTCAAAACTAAATAAGAAATTACACCAAAAACTGGAGTATGTGATACACAATGCATTAGTTTACTGTGTATCAAATGTATATTACCTTGTAGTAGGCTTCTTCAAACACCAGTAACGGACCAGAGAACCCTATGATGAGGAGGGGCTGACCAGCAAGCAGTGAGAATATAACTCCCAGAGTTGCAGTTGACACAATAAGCTCAGTCACTCCCATCAGGGGGCCGTCTGTTTTTTTCACCTGTATGTGAAAACAACCACAAACACACCTTCAGAGGACAGATATATAAACGGCATGGTATCCAATGTCTTGTTTCTGGTAGTGTGTGTTTACCCAGCAGGCCTCCAAAGGTGATGGTGGGCGACAGTGCAGCAAAGTAGATGAAGATGATGGCGGCGAGGCACTGCATGTCCACGGAGTCCTTCAGGTCGCTGACGTAGTGAGGGTATCGCCGGCGGATGTCGTGGATCAGGCCTCCAAACGGGATCCCAGAGCGCTTCAACGGGTCCACATCTGGTCCCCCTCCTCCTCCTCCTCTGGACTCACCTCTGGGGGGTCGGGGTAGCAAACAAGTATACAGGTCAGGGACACTAGACAAACATGGAAATTAAAGCACAATCTGAACCGGTAATGTGAACACGAACAAGATCCTAAAGGTAAGAGCCAAGGGCCTGTGTCCACATAGCCTATTTCTAAACGCCAGCATTATTTTTCGATTGTTTCCAATTAGGAGAGAGCAGATGCCATTGCATGCAACTGCAATAATACAAAAGGGTGCCCCCAGCATTAATTTTCCAAAGTCCAACGTTCTTGTGCAGTCGCTCCGAGTGCTACAAGTTGGAATTATTTCAACTTTTCAGTAAAGCGTTGTCACTGTGGAAATTGAAGGAGAAGATTGTTTTTGGGCCTGTCTTGAGACCGAAACTACCATAACAAAGACAAAAAGCTTGTTTGTTTGAGCAGATCGACAGGCGGACCCTCAATGTTGCTGGTGGGTGTTTTGAATGTACTTTTGGCGCGGACCGCGGACCGCTCTCATCACCCTACGGCTGGCAGATTGAAGGATATTTATACAAAGTGTGAGATCAATAGTCTTTCAGTTGGTTGTAATGGTGAAAGTTCAACGTCAAACGAATCAGCACCCTGCTAGCGGCTTTATGCCAGAAAAATGTGGACAAAGGCCCCACCTGGCTATCAACTCTATTTCTTATTATTTTGATAAATTCCTATGAGAAGAAGTCAAGACTTGTCAATTTATCAAAGGCCTGAGCCACACTGTTGCTGGACCATGTTCCTTTATTACTATGAACACAGGTACTGAACTCATCACAGTGGAGGCTACCTTAAATACTCACAAGATCAACAAATGTGTATTAATCCTTGGCTGAAAATAGTCCACAACAAATTAACTTTGTATTCCTGTTTGAGTGGCATTTAAAAAAACTTAAGTGCCTAGGGAATGATTGAACATTTTTAGAAAAATATTTGTAGGACCCTGTTTTGTTTTAGATTTACCACTTTGGTTGGAAGGCTTGGGGCTGACATATTTAGGAAATATAATTTTAGTTGATAATACGAGAAATAATGAATAATGTGCCCATGTGTACAATGACAAGGCCTTCCTTTGGCGGCCACTGGTGGTTGTATCAAAAACGATTTTTAAGAAACACAAAATGTGAATTTCTTATCAATAATTAATCTCAAACAATTAAGTTATTCATGTTATCTATTTACATTCATTTATCAAATGAATATTGTTACAAAACTGATTGGCCTTTTAACTATGCGGCTGGCAGCTTTAAAGTATTAGACGGACTGTACATTTTAAGGGAAATGTTTTTCCTGATAAAATACAAAGGGATGTGAAACTTGACTAAATGAAAAGGCTAATTCAAATGTAGTAGCTTGAAAAAGCTTCAGATTCTAGAAAACGAGAATAGATTTTTTAAATATATACAATTTATATAAGATATATAATTTTGTAATACAACCAATCTTACCTTCAGATCTATTGGTTTTTGTTTACTAAGATGGTGGGAATTTCTCAGTGTTTAGTTCATTTGTAGCTGTTAAATGTTTCAAATCTATATTTTTAACAAGTCGGTGGTCTGCACACAACTTAAAGGTTTCCTATTATGCTATTTTTAGGCATATATTATGGGTCTCAGATATATAAACATATATAAAAAAACATGTTTATGATGTGTTTTGCTCAAAATACCCAACAGATCATGCATTTTAGACATCCCTCATATCCCTCTGTTTCAACCCTGTTAGAGAACTGCAGGTTCGAGGTCCTTAGCTTGAAAAAAATATACGAGATATGTACGAGATACAGCTAAATGCTGCTGTGATTAAATGCCATATTATGTTCCAAACCACATCAAGGATTATTTCTGAAACAGCATGGAGCTCAAACGCTTTTTCTCTTGCAGGTTTACCACAAGGTGAGTTCCTTTTATTTCCAGCTTCTTACACATACTCTCTCCAGTACATGTTAGCTCTGAGTGTTAGTGATGCTTGCTAATGTAAACAAAGACCATATTACGTCCAAAACACGTCGGGGCATTGTTTCTGATAGCAACTTTCTGATAGTGCTGTGGGTCACATTTCGATATTACGTCATATCGGCAGAAAATCTGGATCAGCTCCGTTGTACCCCCGTTTTTAGAGATTTGCTCACGGAGGAAAAGAGAGGGTTTTATTTTCTGACACTTTGTGAGTTCCCTGACACACTGGGGACACATTTATGTATAAAAGACATCAAAAAGTGCATTTTGCATGATAGGTCCCCTTTAAAATAAGTTTTGACTTTACCAATGGATCTGTGTTCCATTGCAGGACTAACATTGGTGTGAGTAATTGAAGCCTTGGCTCTTCAGGGACTTGACAGAGTACCTTTGTTGTTGGGCTCCATTCCAGCGAAGGAGTGGTGCCTCTTGAGTTCCCTCTCCTTCCTCTTGCGCAGCATCTGCTTCTGGAAGTCAGCCACCGTCTTCAGGAGGTCTTTGCCCTCCACGTCTGAGGGGGGGATTACAATGCTGCAGTCCAAGAACTCGTTGATACCGTTCAGGAGGTCCTGTCTGTCGTCAGCAAAATAGGCCACCTCATGGAAGCTCTGCAAGGAAACACAATCCATTGTCATCACCAGAATGAATAACAGGCAAATAAAAGACTTCCAAAGGGCTGTTACATAAATGATTTTTGACAGGAACAATGGGCAGCTTTTCTTTTGGCGTGTTCTCTCGACTTTTATATTCTGGCACCATTTTCTAAGCAGTCCTCCTTGCAAGACCTTTTTGTCAAGTTGGTTAGAAAAACGAAGTATTATGTCTTAGATGTCCACCAAAACACTGAATAACTACAAACATACAGTATGTCCTGGAAGAACATAGCCTCTTTATTTTGTACATCTTTTTTAAGGCTTATATATTACAGATAAACAGCAGTGATACATTTGTGCTAACCGACTAAAAAGACTTTAACAAAAAGAGAAAAACAAGATGGGGAAAATCAATCACTTAAATAAATACAGTAATATAATTATTGCTTTAAACATTAGGCCTTTATAATCAGAGATATCAACTTAAGTTATTAGTTTATATAAAAATATAATAAACTAAGTTGATGTAATGTCTTTGTTAAGCCATTTTCTACTTTATCCTATTCTAATGTTTAGCTTTTTTCAATCAATTATAAATCACATTTTTGACTTTTGTGACTGAATCTGATTGACATGGTATAACATCTATGCTTCGTTTTATATCTACCTTATCTGACATGAGGGTTGAGAAGGAGCGTCCGATCTCATGATAGTCCACGTTGGCCTGACTGGGGCCCAGCAGGACGAAGAGGAAGCGCACAGGGACAGGGACCTCCAGCACGGACTCCAGGAGGACCGCCTCGTTCAGCCGCACGAAGGCCATGGCCGGCTGCTCCAGGAACTCAGCGTTGCCTGAAAGGAAATAAATGACAATAAAAAATGCAGTGATTTTTCAGATTTTTCACATCTCTGCAGGAAGGAGTTTAGTAGGGGTTTTTCGAGAGAGCAATACTGTGGCGCTGATCTTGTATATAATATATATATATATACATTTTCACGAGAACATGACCCCCGTAAACAACAACACGACATCGGAGCTCCTTAACAACAAAGCTGTTTATGCCGTCTGACGGTCTATTTGACACGATTTTCATATTTTTGGAGTAATTATACCGTAATTGAAGAACATAAATACTGTTTTCTGGCATCATTTTAACATTTTACAGGGATTTTTGTATCAGTTACCTGTTACCCAGTTTAGACAAAACCCTGGGTTTAGGTACTTTACTGGTAACAGAATCTCGGATTGTGCTTTTATATTACACAGGTAAGTTGAATACTCGATTATGATTTGTGACAGTCTTCTTCTTTCCTGATTGTAAATTGTTTGCTATGATCTGATCAAGGGAGGAATGTGAATTCATATTGATCCGCAGAAAGATCATTTGACAATTTTTCAACTGTGGCCCAAAAAACAAATTACCAGAAAACCGAATGGATTACTTCTGAATATTCATAGTTGTATCGTGGATAGCACCAAAACTTTGAATTCATAACGGCTAAACTGTCCCCAGTAAAGAAAAGTAAAGAAAAGACAAGAAAACAGAGCAAGAGAAGGAAAGATGTTAAAAGTGTCAGAGAGCCGGAGGACAGACAGGAAGTAAACACTAACGGGAACACGGGTAAGGGCTCTGGCAGTATCTAGTTAATGGAAAAGAAAATGTGAACAGACTTGGATAGAGCAGAAAATCAATCAGTGCTGCCGTCTCTTTAAGTTTACGTTGCTGCTGCTGCAGTTCCAACCGTTGCTACGCTGTAGAACTGACTTTTTTTCTTTGTGAAGCAATACAATTATTTTTAAGTTGATCAAATCATGTTTCCTTCAATATTTTGTTTCAAATTGTTTACCTAGTGAAGGGAACTCGACAGGGTGACCAGGACCCCTCCACGACCGGCTTAGATTCGTTCTTTACCAACATTCAACCTTTTTCTTTTGTTTCAAATGTAAATATAAATGGATCAATACAACGACTTTCCACGCCATTAACATCCTCAAGTAGTGCTTATTTGCTGTTGTCTAAATTAAGACATCCTGCAGCTTTACAGTCCTCAGGGTGTAGCAATGCAGCTGCAGTGTTGACTTTACATTAACAGCAGCGTGAGTATGACATGATTCTGGTGTTTTACTGATTGTATAATGGCCCTTCTCTGTATTTGAGGCAAAGCCTTATGGAAAATGTAAAACAAGTCGATGAATCTCTAAAAACAGGAGGAAAGAAAGACATTCCTCTAACTAATCTACTTTGTCGAAAGTCACGGAGCTCACCAACTAAAACAATGACAGCTTCGGCATCTTTGGGAATCTTGGCGAGGAGCTTCATGGATCTGGCTGCAGCTGGATGGGACTCGGGAGGCAGAGGGTGGAGAGATTTCTTGGAGAAAGAACAGAACGCAGATTATCCACATTGTTGCTCCGAACCAACGTGATGTGACACCGTTACATAGCGTGGGACCAATAATGGGAACTCAATGTGGGAATGGCCCTGTATGTGTGCATAATAACATTCTTATGGCCCTGCAGAATTCATTTTAAACCCAGCACAACTAGACCTCATGGTTCTTTATGTTTGAACGAAATGTCTTTAATAGGCTGCTTTAAATTTGCCAACATTTTAAGCCGCGGGGAGCATTACGTTTTCACATGTTAATGCATCAAGAAGCTTTAACTAGAAGCACCTGTAAGCCGACTAAGAACATAATTCGACATGTGGCGCTCAGAGGCGTGCTCGCTCTGACTTCAAGAACTACCTACATGACTTCTGACCTCATGGAGGGGTGTTTCAAAGCACCATGCAAGAGCCACAGGCCTCACATCGGGCATATGGTGTAACCACGCTTAAACGTATGCTTACTGCTGACTCTTAGAACTTAATTCAAACCATAAACTAGAACATGACAGCTCAACGCGGCTTTTATCTCTGTCCATTTAGATAGCTGAGTTCTATTATGCTTGTGGATTCTTGTCAAAGCTGTTAATCGCTTACTTCGGCTGTGGTGAATCATATACATTTTTTTGTTTCAGCTAGGTTAAAGTCTATCAACAACCAGAACTCATATTTGTCACCATATTCTCAAATTGACACAAATAGTTAAGGTGTAGAGAATAAGGAATGATTTAGAGTAGGGATGTCAAACTCAATTTCAGCCTTGGACACATCAGCTTTATGGTTGCCTTTTAAAGGTTTTGGTTAACATTTTTGACATAAATCCATTTTATTCTGAAATGAGCCATTGACATTCAACTGATTTTGATAGAGCGTATTACGTGTTCTGTTGAGAATGTAGGCTTTTTAATTCTTGGACTTGTTAAAGCTTTTTTTGGTGGCTTAGGTTAGCAGAGTTGGCTCCGTGTTTGGTATTGTATTCCTTGGACATTGCCAAGACCTCCTAGCAAAGAAGACATAAGGGCTTCTCTCAATCAAGCGAAACTATTTATTTGCTTTCCTTCTCTCATTTAATTGCCTTCCCTGTGCATGAACTTTATTTTTTCAGACCATTTGATACCATTACATAATTTTTTACAACCCCATAACTCGGCCAAAGTTCTTCCACTCAGATGGCTAATATTAGGAAGCTTCAGTGTGCAGGTAACAAAATCCAGAGGCATTGTGCGATATGTCGTTTTTCAGACACCGTACTTCTGTAAAGCGACATAAATTATATTATTTGCAAGTTCTAGTAGGCTATATAAAATGAGTTTCCAGGCTTTAGAGGGAAGGACAAATGAAGTAAGGAAACTTACAAAGAGGCTGACAAACACGTCCTGCTTTGGGTCGTATGAAGGACAAATGAAGTAAGGAAACTTACAAAGAGGCTGACAAACACGTCCTGCTTTGGGTCGTATACCGGCCCTTTGTTATCCTGGTGCTCCTCCGGCTCTTCGGCCACCAGCGGCAGACTGGTGTCGTGGTTGTGATTGAAGCCGCCATGGAGACTGCTGGTCGACTGGTGGCGGTGGAAACGATGTTTCATGTCACTTGGATGGCTGCAGAAGAGAGAAGGAAATACATGAGTAAGAGCTAAATGCTAACACTGGCATGCTAATACTTAATGCTCACACAGTTACTAGCTAACCCACTGATGTTTAGGGATGTTACAGGTCACCATCTTGTAGTCTTTAAGTGTGTTAGCATGCTTACATTTGCTCAAATCAATCAGCAGCTGATTTTGTTCAGTTAATCAAGCAAAGTAGAGTAAGTAGGCTACTAAGATGTTAACCTGAAGATTGCACCAGGTCACAAGTCACCAAGGTAATACATTGAACCATGATTATTTGAACTTCTTTCAAGACACTACTCCATTGCCATGTTGATTGAGCATGTATTTGTTGAAAATATGCTAGATTTATACAAATCAAGTTGGGACTTACTTAAAACCTCATAGGGAACTCACACAAATCAAAGCAGTCCATATACTGTATGTTGTTTCTTTTATGTGATCATTAGTCTTAAAGGACCTACAGAAGTATCTGACCTCAAGGCATCCATGTAGACATTACTATAGCTTCAGTCAATTCTACATCCTTGTACTTAATTTTCCTTCAGATATATCATTACATATTAAATACAGGATGCTCGACAAATTCTTCTAAACACAAGGTCCATTCAAGTTTTTATGGCCGCCATCAACAAGAGTTGTATGTCTTTTCATTTAGAATAATTTGGATTATTATGGTAGGCTACTGTTCCCCATTTGAAATAATTAAAAGTCATTAAAAAAACAATATTAAGATGATTAATTAATAGGGCTGCAGAATCATTTATATACTACGAATGACAGCACAGCTGGGATTCCTTTTTTACCAATGTACCTCCAAGAGCTTTACCTCATGCATTTCCAATGCAGCTCATACATTTAAAAAAAGTCCTCCACAAAAATCCTTCCAAATAAAACCACCTTAAGCCCTGAGCCTGTTTTTCAGGTCTCAGGCTCGAAAATGACATTCCCAGAACAAATGACCATATCTTCCCTTCTAAAAGGGTTAAATTCATAATCTTTTTTCTCAAAGTAATGATAAACCTGTGAGTTGGATGTAGACAAGTCAGAATCAATATAGATGTTTTTTATTTTAAAGAAAATTCAGATTGAACATAGTAAAAAACTGTAAATTATAGTGTCCGTCCAAAAATAATTTTTTACTTATAGTGAAAACTACCCTTGGATGATGGGTTAGTAGACTAAAAGCTTTAGGAATCCAAAGTACAACATATAATAAGTACCCTGTATCAAGATTGATGCAAAACAAGTGAAATTTGACCTTTTTAGAGAGATTTAGTAAAACAAAACACTTCTGGGGTCATTTGGGTGGATTTTCCATATCTCTGGCCCCCCTTGGTCGATTTTGATGATTGACACCTCTTTATAACCGCTAGAGCCAATGGAGTCGAGGGAAAGTTCTACACACACCAACACATTAACAAATAAGGAGTGAGAGTGACGCGTGGCCAAAACCGGAAGCTGCATACACTCTGTTGGCTACCGTTAGCAGCTAACTTTTTTGCTCCGATTTTTACATAAAAATGGAATTATGGATAATTTTTTCAAAGCCACAGATACATTATTAACCTATGGATCAACGGATTCAGCCGCGTTTTTTCTCGTTTTAATGCCATTGAACACGTCTTTTGATCAGATTGACAGCTATGGTGAGACGATCTCCCGTAAAAGCTCCGTAAAGGTACGTGTTGTGATGTCTGTGTTTGCTTCCCCTGTCGCGAGTTCGGATCGCTCAGTGATGATACTATACCTATATAATCTGTGGAGTCTCAGCTTTAATCGGATATATTGTATGTGCAGCTACGATAAGTAATAAGGGTATCTTTATCTTGAGTTCTGTGCTAAAGTGCGTTAGCATTTTCTCGCTTAGTGCTAATTCAGAGGCTTGGTATTACCCTTGTGTTTTGTTTTGGTAAAAATGGTTCATATCTTCAGTTAGCTGAGATTCTTCCCGTTAATCTGGTGCTACACATTAATAGTTTCATAAAATGTAAGAAGCCCTGAGACACAGTCTCGAAAAAAAACGGTGGGGGGGTTCCACTGGGGGGAACGTCGTCCGTAAAAGGTTAATGCAATATTATAAATCTCTAAAGAGTCAATCTGAGTTGACACATTCATTTTTTTTTTAAACGTGATATTTGCATTAGAGCATCAATAAAAAAGCCGGAGCCCAATCTGTGTAGCACATTTCTCTCCCTCAAACAGAGAAGTATTTAATGTGTCACTCCAGCCAGGACTTTTTAACACATTACATCACTGCTCAGTCCAATTGTGACATCACCTCATTCGGCCCGCAAGGACCAATAAGACGTCGGCCAAATTGGACGTGACAGCACCCAGAGACAAAAGAACGAGGTGTGACACTGTAGTGAATTGTGCTCGAGACGTTTCCAGAGGATCTTTAAAGTGGTCTGAGTAAGCGATGAGCTAAATCTTAGCATCACCTCAATGTGTGCCTCTCCACGTCATAAATCTGATATCTGGTGATGACTCTAATGACAGTGTTTCTTACTCGCTTGTGGAAGCAGCCAGTGACATGCTGGTCTTTATGTGGAAAGGCTGTGAAAGATGGAAAAAACCCATGATAGCATGCTGTTAAGGCTGGACAGCTTATTCTGTGTGCATCTGTTGTTTCGCTTTGTGCGGTCAAAATATATCCATTAGGTTTTAGTGAAACAACACATTCGTCACCACAGTGTAAGTAATATTGGATTATTGGCTTTCATCTACTGGCATAACTCAAACTTTTGAAGTTGTATCACACTGAAACATTGTCCATGCAAGATATATGTTACTGATCAAACCCAGGCTGTACCATTCTGGCATAAAAGAGGGGGGGCCAGAGAGAGAATGCTGGACCAGTGGCTTGGGAGAGCTGTATACAGAGACATAGCGATAGAATAAATTCCTTGGAAAACTAAAATATATATTACTGAAAGTGTTTCAAAAGGATCACACTCCATTTAGTCATTTTAGTAGCTGTTCCTTCAATCATAGCATTTGATAAAATTACTTTTAAGCCATCATGGACAAGAAGTCTGAAAAGTTCACGGAATAAATACGTTTGAACACCCACAAGTATACGACAAATGGGCAAACTCATTCTTCTAAAAGGAAACGTTTGTGGTACAAATCCCATCTGAATATCAAAAGCTCCAGAACTGCTGATAAATAATAATAACAAAAACCTATTTTGAAAAATGTATAAATGTTTGCAAGTGGGAATTAACAGCAACCTTTATGTGAGGCTCAGAGTCTACATGATAGACATGCTACATTCTAATGTCAGCATGCTAACATGCTCACAATGACAATTTAACCATCTGATGGTTAGAAGGTATAATGTTTATGTCCCCTAACTTAGTTCAGCGTGTAAGCATGCTATCATCTGCTATTTAGGACCAGCTAAGGCTAATGAGAATGTAGTTTGTTAATCCTTTGTGCTGGTTTTTATAACCAAAGTTATTAAGATTCATGGTTAAAATGGCTATAAATGTCCTTAACCCCTTTTGTGCCGATATAACAACCCAGTCTCACGGCATTTCGTGTTATAGTCACAAAATGTAATCTATTGATTCGTGTTCACCAACACGATTTTCCCCTTTTTTTCGTGTCACAGAACGATTTTAACCCTTGTATGGTGTTCATATTTTTGTTACTCAGCCAGTGTTTGTGGGTCTGGTGGACCCGCTGCCTTTTTGGGCTTCAATTCAACACAATCAAACTATTTGATGTTAAAATACTCAACAGATGTTCACTTCATCTCAATTACAAGCAATATAAACAGCATATATATTTTACATTTGTTAGATCACATTAATGAATTAAAGTGCTACTTGTTTTTTGCCCACTGACCGGCTGGTCCTGTGGCTCGTCTTTTTTTTGTAACTAGTTGATGCTTAATCTCATCCTCTTCTTCAAAGTCACTGTCAGACTCAGAATTCTCAGAAATGAGATCCTCACATTCTGAAACCTCTTCCTCTTCCTCTACATCATCATCAGGTTCTCTCTCTTCCAAAACCATTTGCAAGACCCTCTGAGCAGAGAATCTTTTGGCCTTCTTGATCAGTTGTGATAAGGACCCAAACTGGCGAAGCTTTATTTATTGTGTCTCGCCCCAAATTTGCAGCTGGGATAGAGTGTGAAAAAAATAAAGATTGGTTCCCGCAAAACATAATGCGGGAATGTGAGAGCAGACAGGTGTCGGTGCTTGAATTCATCAACAATGTTGCAACCTTGTGCGGGAATGGCAGGGGCAGAAACACAAAAGTCTCACACACACACACACACACACACACACACACACACACACACCACACACACACACACACACACACACACACACACACACACACACACACACACACACACACACACACACACACACACACACACACACACACACACACACACACACACACACACACACACACACACACACACACACACACACACACACACACCACACACACACACACACACACACACACACACACACCCCTGGGCGATTCCCCAGTTCTGGGGGGCGATGTCTCAAGATGCAGGTGCAACCTCTCCAGGCTGAGACGGGGTGGATTGTCTGACAGAGTTATGCAGTCTATCCAGGCAGCTAGAGCGGGATCCATCACAGCCTGTTACAGGCCAAAGTGGCTGGGATTCCAGCGACGGTGTGAGGAGCAGAGAATAGAGCCCCTATCTTGTGAGTTGGGCTCTATTTTGTCCTTCTTACAGTTACTGGTGGACAGAGGGCTTGCTCATTCCATAGTGAAAGTGTATGCAGCAGCCATCTCGTCCTGTCATGAGGGATTTGGCGGCAGGTCAGCCTTTAGTCAGCCACTGATGTTGCGGTTTTTACAGGGGGTCAGGAGGCTGCGCCCAGTAGTGCACGCCTCCGCCCCGCAGTGGGACCTGCCGTTGGTGCTCGAGCTAACCGCTCTGTCGGTGCACCCGAGTTGCTTGTTAATCCGGGGTGACCAGAGCGGGGCGACA